TGTGTTCTGATTTGTTTTCTGTTTACTACAGAAGTAATAAATGGCAAATTTCATCACTCAAGACACTAATACTTATGTTTCCTTCTTTACTGCCACTGCCTTTCAGAAATTACCATTGATCTTCTGCTTTGGAACTTAATGAGTTGTTATGTCAGGTGGCCACAGGGTATAATCAAAGCTGATTTATACTCAGAATAATGGGAATATATCCACTGAGAATATAAATGTCAAATTGCTGAGCACTATCACTAGAAGGCCCATATGCTGCAAAGATGATAAGAGTAACTAATTCATTTCTTAAGGGGTTATATAGTTTTCTCTATGATAGATACAATGATATAACACTAAAATTATGAGGGAGAAAAGAAAAAATGGGTAAATTTGACTTCTTTAAAATTAAAAACGATGACAGCAGCAATAAAATTTTTTCTCAAAAAAAGTAAAAAAGCAATTCACAATGTGGAAGACAAAAATTCTTTTTGTAATTGTAAACACAGGGTAAAATACTAATAATTGTGAGATATTTTTCTATAAATGTTTCATACATCCTTAAATGAGTGAAACATATTCAATAACATCACTAATGATACTTTTTATTTGCATAATAATGATTTAAGAACACTTCCTCCTCCAATATTTTCCATGATGCTAGGATACTAAGCAGAAGTTAGGAAATTTTAAGAATAATTAGAGTAAATATAGTCAAAGAGTCCATTACAATTTTTATGATTTAGTAAAATCAAATTGTAATATGGCTTCACATTATGCATAGTCATCAACTCTAAATGATCATTTCCCCATAAATGTAATTACCTGTAAGAAAGGCAAATAAAACAAAGAAAATGAGGATGATTCCAAAAATAGATTTGGGGGAGCTTCTTAATGAGGCTAAATTGGGTTAGATTTCATTACAGTTTCTCAAATATTTGTTAGAATGATTCCCAGTTGTCATTTTTGAATGGGCTTGTTGTTAACTGATCCAGGCTTTTTCTTTCCCCCAACCCCAGCCTCTTCCATCACCTTCCAATATCCCATGTGCCACTGAGGCTACCTTTAAATGAGTAGTGCCTAGGAAAGACATTACTGCACATAGCTAACAATCAAAACCTCATCCTTTGATATTTCAAAGAAAAAGCCAAATCAAAGAAAAAATTGAGGTGGGGATTAGCCACTTAGTACATCAAAA